TGACCCTGGAAGACATTATGCTGAGTGAAATATTCAGCCACAAAAGGACAAATACTGCATAGTGCCACTGTTGTAGAATAACATCAGGGTTGGGGTGAGACTGAGAAAAATTAGATAAATTAGTATACTGCATTGAAACAGATGAGGTAGAGAGCAGTTTAAAAGCAATATATGATTGGGTATTAGGGTAATGACAAGAGTCCAGAATGAAGGTTGCATAGTGGAGTGTACTTGAAGTGGAGGGGGAAATTGTACACCAATGAAGGAATTTTTTTTTTTTTGCTTTTCAAAGAGAGGAGCCAACTGGAAGGAGGGGTGGGCAGGGAGAAAAATGTAACAATGAATGAATGGAAATCCAAAATCTCTGTAAATGTTCATTAAAATTAATAAAATGAAATTCAAGGAGAGGAGCAAACTGGGAGTGGGGTGGGTGGGGAGAAAAGTGCAACAATGAATGAATGGAATTCCAAAATCTCTGTAGATGTTCATTGAAATTAACAATAATTTTAAAAAAGGAAAAAAATGTGACTTGTGGCGATCTCATATGTATAGAACTGAGTTTCACAGGGGTTTTGGTGACTGGGTGTTTGGAAGTAGATCATCAGATATTTCTTTCAAGGTGCCTGTGGACTAACTTGAACCCTCAACCTTTTGGTTCACAGCTCAGCACTTAGTATCTAATCCACCATCTCAACTGTCCTCCCCGTCCAGGTGCTGTGCTCCGTCATCGCCGGAGTGCTGCACTACCTCTACCTGGCCTCCTTCACCTGGATGCTCCTGGATGGGCTGCACCTGTTCCTCACTGTCAAGAACCTCAAGGTGGTCAACTACACCAGCGCAGGCAGATTCAAGAAGAAGTTCATGTACTCCTTTGGCTACGGGATCCCAGCTGTCATTGTGGCTGTGTCTGCTGGCATTGGGCATAAAAATTATGGAACATCTAATCAGTAAGCATGTTGCGTGCATTTGTGGTAGGAGTAGTGTCCATAGCAACAAGCTAAAACTAGAGCCATGTGAGCGCGTCATGATTCATCATAGCAACCCCATGTGTTTAGAGTATCACTGCTTGATAGGGTTTGCTTATCTATAGTTTTCATGGAAAGGAGCCTGGTAGTGCAGTGGCAAGTCACCTGGGGCTAGCCGTGAGACTGGTGCTCTGAACACACTCAATGACTCTGCTGGAGGTTGACTCCTAGATCTGTTCTCACAGAGGTTATATAGCCAAGAAAACCCAGAGGAGCAGTTGTACTCTTTCATATGGTGTTGCTGTGAGTCGGAATCAACAAGAACAATCATTTTAAAATTGTTCTTTATCTTCTCCCTCCCAACCCTTTCCTTCTCACCTTCCCCTAGTCATTCATTCAGTTATAAATGTCCTGTTAATCGCAATACATATATTATTGTCCATCCATTCATTTGAGGTTGATCTTTCCTTCTCCTAGTTCATTACAATGTTCATTGTCCACTTTATTTCTGCTTTCTCTTATGCTCTACCAACCCTTCTGTTTCTATAATAGGCATTTTATACAGGATTGGTACTTTTGTGACTGAACTATTTTGCTTAGTACAATGTCCTCTAGACTTATCCTATTGTGTAGTTGGGTATGGTTTCATGAGTTTTCATTTTTTAAAAATGCTTCATAGCATTCCATTGTGAGAATTTACACCTATATTTCTATTTGTTTGTTGGTGGAGATGGAAGCAGCCCAAGTGCCCAACAACAGTAGTTTTTATGCAAGCAAATTACTGGACCTTCCTTCCACATCAAATCTAGGTGAATTTAAATGGACTGTCTCATATATATATATATATTTGTGGTGTATATATGTTTGTGTGTGTATATATGTGTGTATATGTATATTTGTGTATGTATATATATATTTGTGTGTGTATATATATTGTGTGTGTATATATATTCGTGTGTGTATATATATTTGTGTCGTTGTATATATATTTGTGACTGTGTATATATACATTTGTGACTGTGTATATATACATTTATGTGTGTGTATATATATTTGTGTGTATATATTTATTTGTGTGTGTATATATATTTGTGTGTGTATATATATATTTGTATGTATATTTGTATATGTATGTATATGTATATATGTGTATATATATGTATATATTGCTGTTATGTGCCATCAAGTCACCTGTGACCCACAATGACCTTATATATATTATCTCTGAACCCTGTCCTATTCTGAGCCAGTCTTATTGTCTCTGACAGACTTAATTCTATTTCTCCAGTCACTGAGTCAATCCATCTCAACCTGGGTCTTCCTCTCCTATACTGTCACTCCATTCTTCCACTTCCAAGCATGATGTCCTTCTCCAAGGACTGGTCCCTCCTGGCCATGTGCCCAAATTATTTGAGATGGAGCTTCGAAATTCTTGATTCCAGGGAGCAGCGTGGCCTCTTCTCTCCGGGATGGACCTGTTTTTCTTCTGGCAGTCCACGGTATGTTCAACACTCTTCTCCAGCACCAAACTCAAATCCACCAGCTGCTCCATGAGAAAAGGATGGGAAATCTTCTCCTATGTGATTAACTGCCTCTGAAACCTTGCCTGAGAATCAGCTATGGGTCAGTTCCAACTCAATGGTACACAACAACCACCACAACAAAGTACATCTATGTCTCAAATGAAGAACCTGTGAGGTACATGCTCTGAATGATTCTGAAAAGTCTTGATTTAAACAATTGAGGTTGACCTCCAAGATGTAAATCACAACAATTAGAGTAACAACTGTGGGAGGCCTTCCCTGCACCAGGGACAGAGTTCTTTGTGTGCAATCGTTGTTGTCATGCTGTCATGGTACTATGACATTGGCACAAAATCCACTCTATTTGACAAAAGTCTCCAGAGACCCAGAGAAAAAGAGAGGAAGTTGGAAGTTGGAAAGGGGGTGCTTTCCATAGGCATGCCTTTCTACCTCTCTAATAATGAATAACCACCACCGCCTGGCTACCACATTGTTATAGTGTTTCGGCCTGCATGTTGCTGACGTGATGGAAACTATGCTACTAACATTTCAAATACCAGCACAGCAGAGATCCCGGACTGAGACAGCCATGGAAGAAAGACTACTGCTTCTTTCTGACATACTGCTTCTGAAAATTAGCCAATAAAACCAAATAGCTCTCACACATTGCATTACTCAATCTTTCCAATAATTCTGTTGGCCCTATTTTTAATTCATGGAAATGGAGGCTCAGAGAAGGCTGACTAAGATGCATGTTATCTAAAAATTTAGATCCTGAACTAATAGCGGCATTTCTCACATGCTGCCATGGCCAGAATCTAAGTCCTCTCCCTTCTCATGAAGGTTCATGTCCCCCCATAGTGCCTTGAAGGAAAAAGTCTGGCAATCTACTTCTGAAAATTCAGTCAATGAAAACATTATCAAGAACAGTTCTCTGACACACATGGTCCCACCAGGAGTCAGGGTCTACTCAAAGGCACTTAGTAATGGTGGTGATGGTGATAGGGCTGCTTGAACATAAAGAGAAAGCATCATCTACTCAACTGAGTGTTGAGAAACGGAACGATGGTGTCTGAATACTGCTTAGTGTTGTCTTAGGTATGGAAGAAAGAGGCAGCTAAAAACATTCAATGATCTTGGCTTCCAAATCTCTGTCAATCTCTTTCTCTCTCTCTCTCTCTCTCTATATATATATATATACACACACACACACACATATGTATAGATATGTATATATGTATATG